TTAAACGATATTGTCCAGTTTGTCCTGGAATTGAATATATATCTTCAATGAAAAACATCTCTGATGAAGAAACTTAAAATTTGCTTCTGGGAGTATAGTGAACTCTGAGCTCTTCCCCACCCACAAAATTCTAGATGCCGCCTGATAAGTGATTTTTTACATTGATTCAAATTTTGGTTAGTGTCCAATGTTGGACACATTTAGTTTTTGACAAAAGTTGTACTTTAATCTACAAACGATTATATGTTTTTCGTAGTAGAAATGGAATAACTAAATTAATGGAAAATTTAAGGAAATTAAGGAATTTTAGGAAATTTTAAGCAATTGTATTTAAAACAGACTGGTAATTGTTTTCACTTCAATTGTAAACACAGTGAAAACCCGCGAAATTGTCAACCAACTTTACCACTGAAACAGTCTTGAATCAAGCCAAAGTTGTAAAGATATTTGAAGCACAACTCGTAAAGATATAGTTTTTCTTCTGTCCCAGTGGAAAAACTAGTTATATTTTAGTAAAATGATAAAATCTTGCCTCGTATTTGACCTGACCTTAGAAAAACCGTCATGTACGAGTGTGGTGTCACTCGCCTCTAACCAGCCAAATTACATCACACAAACATTTCATGAATATTAATGAACCTAAGCCAAATTTGGTCAGTCACCAATAAGGAAGAGAAGGAAGATTTCTTAACAGAAACTTTAATCTTGTAACGCATTTAAAGCTTTGTTTTTAGGGAACTTCTCTAAAATAAGGTAAGAGTGAAATGCTTYTTTCACTTAGAAATAGTTTCGGAGTAAATATTAGATCTCTCAAGCTAGAGTTGCAAACATAAAAATATCAACATGGAACGACAGGTAATGGAATAAGTGTCATTTTGGATTTTTAATATAGGAGATTTATCGCTAAATTCATTTCCAATTTCGAGCTATTTTTTCTCCAAATCAGTTATAACTTTTACACGAGATATTTATAATATACGGCTTACAATATTTGGTTGATTATTAGAGTATTTGATGGAAATTCTTGAACAAGTTCAACGATCGGTAGCGAAGGACCTGCAAATTTTTCATCATCTGTCATGCGATTTATAAAATCCGATACACCGTTAACTGGATTGTATTAGTTTTATTTTTATGCTTATGAAAATATAAGTATTAGGTCTGACTACAAGCATAGCTTCTCTCTATTCTATTCACATTGTAATTCCTATTGCTAAATCTTGACAAACTCGAAAAATCTGCGTTTGACAACTGAACCAATGTTGTTGAGTTCTAAATATTTTGTTTGCTCAGGCTTGTTAGAAATCATCATGGACAATGAACGATTGGTTTAGCATTTCTCTTCAGTTTATTTAACATTATCATCTTAGAAAACTTCTCGTTTTGTGGAATAAATATATCATATTTTTCAGGTTTATGGGCCGGGTCCACCACGCGAGCGCAATGACCACAAAGCGATTTAAAATAGATATAGCTTTTACAGATACATAAATAAATATATACTTGAAATCGTTACGGATCAGGTGTTTTACAAATTATCTCTTTCTTTACATATGAACTCGGCCAACTATATATAAACTACAGAAACAATTACTGCATTTTTCATAAAGATGCGAATTCAAACTCTGTGTCTGCGAGTTGGCGCTGAAATTGGTTTTCGCTGYCGTCAATCAAAAATAAAATCAGTCGGTACCTTTCATATTTTTGACTGGCGGCAGCGAAAAACCAAATTTCAGCGTGCAGCTCGGAGACAAAGTTCGCATGTTTATGAAAAATGCAGTAATAACAGATTTCATTTAGTTTTTGAAGATCATTTTCCTGTGAAGGAAGCTCTTTCTCTTGTATTGCATTGTGAGTTCTCTGAGTGTTAGCCTTGTTTTTGTGAAGAACAGCTGCAGTGTTCCAGTGAAGTTCCGCGGAATTTCAAATTGTTTGTGTTGTTGAAGTTGTGCATTCTTTACTTTAACGTTGGTATTTGTGAATATTTAGACACTGAAATGAGGCTAACCCTGAGTAAATGAGTCTGTAATAAAGAAACACAGCGGTAATTTGAAACWTTTCTCTTTTTTCTCTTCAGCTATGCGTCTTTTATTCCTAACTATACTGGCCGTGTCAGCGGTCCTCCGTTACGGCTCATGCTCGCCAAACAGGAAATTGAGCTCCCAAAGTATGCTGGGAAGAGCTTTACTACGCAGAGCACTGGAAGCGATGTCAAATAGTCCACGAACACACATCAAGAGACGGTCTTTAGACGAAGAAGATGTAAGCGGCGATAATATCAAGCAAACTGACGCGGTAGAGGACATCTCTGTTGGATCAGGGTCTCATTCGGAAGAAAGTGGAGACAGTTCCGGTACGAGAAGCAGCGAGATCAATGAAGACCAGTCAGGCTCTGAGGAACAGTCTGATATAAGTGGAAATAGCGCTGGATCAAGCGGAGATGGAGGAGCACACACTGACGAACAGACGCAGGGCACAAGGAGGGACATAGTCGAAGCGTCTGGTCAGGGAGAAGCGGAGAATACAGAAAAGAAGACATTAGACCAACAAGAAGACAACGGTGTCAGCTCTGGTAGCGACACAGTCGAAGCTTCTGGTCAGAAAGAACCAGAGGAGACAGAAGACCAACAAGAAGTCAACAGTGTCAGCTCTGGTAGCGACACAGTAGAGGCTGCAAGTGATACTCAGACTTCATCACCAGCAAGTGGTTCGTCTGGGGCCCCACCCAGCGATGATGCTGAATCSGGCATCGGCGAATCAGCACAAGAAACGAATAGCAACAGTGACCAAACATCTCCAGCTGAAAGTACAACTGTACAAGTTGCCGACAGTGACAAACAAACAGAACAAGAACCAAAGAAGAATGCCAGTGATGAAGAAGTGAGCACCAAGAAATCTACGATTGCTAAAGTACAGCCTTCCGCTTTAGTAGCAGTGAAAGAAGACACTGAAACTTCGGCTTCGTCTGGAGAAAGTGACGAGGTGACATCAGGTATTGAAACGTCGTCAGGTGAAGCGTCTGGCGCTGAAGATGATGGTAGTGCCGAGGCAATACGCAAGGGAATGGAAAGTTTGAGCAAACTTCTCAARCCAGTCGCAAATGGGCTGGATTTCCAGCTGTTTAGCGGAGCTGCGAAGCCAGAGGATGAAGATGAAGACGAAGAAGAAAAGCCTATAAGCAAGGCAGAAGGCAAAGGAGAAAGCGACAAAGCCGAAGAAGAAAAACCACGAGTCGTTAAAGTGAAGAAATGTGAAACTAAGTGTGCTTTGCCAATGACTTACGACCAGTGTGCTGTACCGAGATGTGATTATAAGATGGGCACCATTAAGGATCTTTGCTTATATCTGTGTAAACATCAAAAACCAGTCTGCAAACAAGAATGCAGGGTGGTCGAGTAAATTGACGACTAGAAGGACAGACAGACACTTCCTTATCAAGACAGRACATCAAGACTAAATTCGTGTCATTTTTATTGCAGAATTAAATGCCGCATTAATCCTTAACTGAACAAGCCTCAGAGGAAAACTAACTTCAAATCTACCTTGGAAATTTTATTCAAGAAAAACTAGATGTTAAAACTAAAGTAAACAGGTTAAAACAGGTTTTGCAAAAAGAATTTCTTTTGCAGAAACGTACAGTGGGCATTTGGGACGCCTTCAACAGATAAACTTGTCACATGATAGTCACGTGCCCAACTTATCACAACTTGTCTTTTTAATACGTGACGGTTTCGTGGCTTTCTTGATATTTGAGTCACGTGCCTTCACGTTATTTTGATTCAGTTCTGTCGGTGGGACACTTGTAATCAAAATATCTACTGTACTGCAGCCGTAAGCTGAAATCAATTTAACCTTTATTTGCTCCCCGATATAAAAATATCTTAAATTCTTATTTTTTGAAACTTRTTTTAGCTGCATATCCTTTTATAAAACCTCCACAATCATATCAATCTTGATCGAACTCGACAATATTTGTTGGAGAGACCAAATTCCTTACAAGGGTGGTGAGGGGTACAAACTACCTCCCGCTGGGGTAGTGAGTGATTCCATTATCCCCCTTCTTGGGTGGAGAAAGCGATTTTAATATTGCTTTACGTAGTGATGTTTAAAAATACTTACAAGTATCAAACATTGATTTCTTCCAAAGTCTCAACTGAGGTATTTATGACCAACGGTTTATACCATTAGTATGACGATGGTCATGTGACCACGATCACGTGATAAGTGATGGAGTGTAACACTTGAACGTACATGACTACATGAGTCAGTGAAATCCAATAAAGATTTAAAAAAGCTATAAGCTTGGTCTCTTTAGAGTATATACAATGACGTGGGTATACGTACGTGTTCTTTTCTTTGGCTGAACAAAGACAGGGCATTCCTAAATACTCCCATTTCGAGTTCGCCTTCGCTCAGTCTTAGCCTCGAATGTGTACAAATGTGTTCTTTTCTTTTATACAGGTCCATTGTATAGTAGGGAATGTAATTACAGTACTACCATGTTAATATCAACTATGGTATTACGGAACAATACAAGTTGATTAAAATGCTACGGGTTTTGGTTGAATGGTTGAATATTATAACACACAGCCGAGGCAAAGGCTGAGCAAAGAGAACTCGAAACTGGAGTATAACWGATTCAAAATGGTCCACTTCACAGTTCCCTGCGACAAAAAATTGGAGCAGGCGTAGCTCAGTTGGTTAGTGCGCGACCTTCAGAGCTTGAAGTCCACGGTTCAATCCTTAGGATCTCCACGTCTGTTTCGACTTCTCTCTAATCCGTGTAGCTTTCAGCTTTAAATACTCTTAAAACAGAGCACTGATAGAGAGAGGGGGTAAAGTGCGCACCGTCGGCTTCCATTGATAGCAGTTGAATTTCAACTGAAGGAATTACCGACGTTAGATATAGGTACTTTACCTTTTTTAAATCCATGCTTAAAATGTAACCGTGCCTGTGCCTCAAAGTCAGAACAGCAGTGACCTTGCAATGTTACAGACTTTGAGTAACACCTTGGACAGTTATTCACATGTCTCTCTTTCATTGCAAGCTCACCGCCGTCCTGTCTTCGATGCAAAGGCAAAGCTACTTTTCAATATGGCGCAGGGAACTGTGACGGGGACTACGGTATTAGAATTTGGCATATAGGGTTTTGGGGAGGAAGAAAAGCTTATAAACCACGGTCCGGTTGTACGAAGCCTGGATAGCGCTATCCGACGGATAAATCTTATCCAGTGGATAAATTTGTTGGAAAACAGCATCTCCTTATCCACTGGATAAGGATTTATCCGCCGGATAGCGCTATCCAGGCTTCGTACAACTGGGGCCCAGGAGAAAAAACCCCTCGGATCAAATGAGAGACTCACAACAGACTCTACGGTGAACCCTGGCCGATATCCCAGAGGTGAGAGGTGAGTGAAATGCAATGCGCCACCCGTGATCCCATTAGAAACTTAGAAAACGGACAAACATTGTGGTTATTTATTTCTATAATATTTATTCTTTCTATAAATATATCTTAATAAGCTTAATAAGCAATCTATTTACACATTTAAATTTTTTAGCATTAAAATTTCAGCTTTGGCGAACAAACAAATTATACTTAACTTGAAAATGTGGAAAATTTTCAGAAATAAACACCCCAGTACAAATTAACTAAACTTTTTTAATTAATGAAATTTATGATAAGAAACCTTGTGTTATCAGTCAGTATATCACGATGCTGTGTGAACAAGTAGACCAAAGCTTTGTATGCGTTTTATCAATTCTGTCCATTCATTTCAAACCTAACTCTTTTGCGTCTACTTTGGAACTCAACATCAAATTCTTTCTCCCCTTCGTCATGAGTTAATTTTTCTTTGTCAAACGGTTTTCCTTCTGTGATTTTCGCGTTGTTGGTCTGTATATCGGTTATCTTTGAGTGAATGTCGTGTGGCGGTGGTCGTAATGGACTTACAATGTCTGTTCTACGCCAGAACTTAGGAGCACCACCAGTCTTTGTAGGTGTACTGACCTCTGGTCTTTGATCAGCAGGTATTGGTTGTTTGGCTTCTTCACCACCACGACACACGTAAGCGTCTGAACCAACGCTATTGGCTGCCTTTGTGGACTTGCTGACGTCACATTTGCTGGCGTCATATTTGATGACGTCACATTTGCCATAACAACCACCGTTTTCGTTAGGGACGTCTCGTGAGGAGGACAGGGTGTTGTTGATGATGACGACAGATGGTTTACTGGGTGGGACTTTGACTGTGGGCAGCKGAGATACCGAGCTGGAGTCGACGGGTTTGCTTTCTTTTGCAGGGAGAGACGAGAGATAAGATGCATGGAAAATACAATTTCATCGTAAAACTATTTTTAAAAAAGGTTGTCAGAACCGAAGGAGATAGGCGCTAGGTCGTTCCAAGACCGAAAGGGATTATGGGTATACATCGAAAAATAGAGGTTCAATTGAAATGGCTTCGTCGACTCACTWCAAGCAAACACTAACTATCTCAATATTAAAATCACTAGGCATTCCAGCTATTCTTTGATATTGGAATGACTTATGTCCACAGCAACACTTATCGAACGTTGACTTTGGCTGTGTCAGTCTTTTATGATAGGTGTAAACAAACTAGTTGGGTATTGAGAAAGCTTTCTGARTGGTAAAGAAAACCTCGGGTGTTTCAATGAAATGAATAATCAAAAAGTTATTTTACAATCTGTTACTTTTTGATATTTTCTTATACCTTTTAGGGCTATTCTTATTCTTGTAAGGGAAGCTGAAGAACACGAGGTCTGAAATGGGGAAAACATTACGCCCAAGGTCAAGAGCCAGGCCTACCCCTAGAGGTCTGAACACAGCCCAAGTAGGAAACCAAATAAGGAACAGCCCACAGAGATACCTTAATTTTACTTACTAACCATTGTTCAATGAATCAATACCATTGTTATTCATCATGCTCATATCRGTATTATAACCACACTGTGGCATCTGGTAGTACGGAGGCATATAGCCACCATAGGGAGGTMCCATAGCTTCTCTACTGCAGTAATCGGCCGGGACGTGACTCGGCATGTCTGCAAACCCACACTGCGAGCTCAYMGTAGGTAGGTAMGGAAAGATACCCATGGCTTGGAGGTACGCGTCCCAGTTGGTCCACATGGAGAACGGAGGTGACATRGAATTGATCGGGAAGTAAGAGAGATAAGGTGKGATGTTGTTTGGTGGTGTGKTGTGGGGTTTCTCCTCGCTTGGCGATTCTTCTCTTTTGGTGTGGTTTTGGTGGCGTTTGACTTCTTCCAGTAAGTCTAAGGATG